TAGCCTCTTTGAAAACCCACAATTTCTTTAAATATTCAATCAATTCCACTATTTTACTTACCCCAAAGAAATAAAAACATGGGTCCAAAGACTTATCAACATTATTCATAATATGCTGAACAATCCAAGGTGCAACAACTTGTGAATGAACAAAATGTCATAATGGAATACTATACAGCTATAAGAAAAACCCTACTCATGATACAAAATGCACAAACCTCCAAAATGTTATACTGACAGATAGGAAACACTGTGTCTTGTATGTTTCTATTTATATCAATTGCCCAGAAAAGGGAAATCTATACATAAAGCAAATTAGTGGTGGCCTGGGACTGGTTATGGGAATAGGAAGTGAAGTTAAGTGGGCACTATCTAAAAAGATAGTGATATCTTGATGATAAAAAATGTTCTACAACTAGTAAAAGTGGCACACCTCAAAATCTAAAAATTCCAAAATGCTGCTGGGTATGGTGATGCCCCAGCTATAACTCCAGCTAAGGACAGTCACCGAGAGTTCCGGGCCAGCTTAGACTACATAGCAAATTCAAGGCCAGCCTAGAATATACAGCAAGCCCCCCTGCCACTCCCCACCAGTTCCAAAATGTTAAAAGTGGATGTTATGGTTATATAAATTACACCTCACTGAAGCTGTTAGAAAAAATGGGACCAAGGTATAGTACTGCAAGCACTACAACATGGTGATCAGAACACTGAGAAGAAAGCAGCTATAAGAGTGCATATTTTTAAAATTAAGTGCCAAAAAATTTTTATGTAGCAGTACATAACTTCCTCATCAGTGGAGAGAACAAGGGAGAGCACATTATTCTCATAATAAAGAAGGGAGAAAGGTAATGACAAAAGCATAAATAAAAGGCCCAAGGGAGGGCAGTAGAATTCCCAAAAGAGTGATTATGATAAACTTGACAGGTACAGACCCTGTCAGATAGGTTAAAAACTACTTTCAATAACAGTATAATACTATTCTTACATACAATTATACATACACAAAAGATGGAAGCTATTATGTTATATTAGTAAGATATTTAAGCAGCTCCATGCTCTGCAAAATACACTAAGGCAAAAACTTTATTATAAGGACAAAGGTCACTATGAAGCCACTTAATGAGGAACATACCAATTCTAAACTTAGGAACATATATGCCACCACTCACATAAAGAAAAATGTTTTTCAATAAAATACTGTTATGCTGATTACTTCTTCTTCAACATTTACTATGCTCCATCTGCACATTCCTTTCTTCTATGCAGACACAATGAAACTCCACCCCCAGTTTACCCAGTCAAAATGAGTTCTCTTATGTAAGAATTTAAGAAACCAAACAGGTTTCAAATGCAGATTTTAAAAAGGTGAACTCATCATAAGTAAGCAAGATTAAAACGTTGTTTTGAGTCTGGGGAGGAGGCCTTCCAGGGTAGGTTGCTTGCCTAGCATATGCAAGGCCCTGGCTTTGATTCTCGGCCTTGCAAAAAATGAATAAAATAAATGTTACTCAATCTGTTTCCTTATCTCTAAAATGGGGTTGAGGGGGTGTGTGAAGATAATTCACATAAAGTATATAGAAAAATTCTGACATACACTAAGCGCTCAAAAAATATTATTTGTGATTCACTGGTTAAGGGAATTGCAAAATTTTTTCCTCAAGGACAGTTCTTTAAAATAAAATTTAATAGCCAGGTGTGGTGGCACATGCCTGCAATCCTAGCACTCTGGGAGCTAAGATAGGAGGACTGCTGCAAGTTCAAGGCCAGCCTGAACTACAGGGAGACCCTTCCTCAAAAAAGTAAATAAACAAATAAATATTGAGAAAACACTTTAAAGTTAACAATTTGATAATATTAGTTAATAAATTAAACATACAAACCATAAATATTTATTGTACTTGAGGAATTCTAAAAGTGTATGTGCCCTCAACTGCAGAACACATAGATAAACATTAGCTGGTTTCATGTGGAGAAGACAGTCATAGGGTAATTAGATATTGAATTTTATAAATTTGGAAGTAATCCCATGAATGTAAAGCTCCTATAAATCTCATATTAATCCCACGTATAACTACCAATTTTAAAATCAAAATTTAGCAAAATTAACACAGTTATTTTGAAGTCCCTTAAGATATTACATACTGCCCCCAAATAATTATTGAAAAGAATCATCCAAAAAAAAATCATCAATGAAAAGCTGATCTGCAAGTGTTTATATTAAAGCCATGTCCTCAATAAAGGAACAAAACAAACAGATTTAAAAACAGATTTTACTGTGTTTAAAAGAAATCATATAGTAATCATGCAGATGGTCCATCAATCCCACTACGAGGAGTCTACCCTGAAGATAAACCTCAATGATACAAAATAAGAGACAAAGTTAGTCACTGCATCATTACATAAAACTGCAAAATTCAGGAAACACCACAAAGCCCATACATAGGAAGGGGCTGAAATAACAACATACCATCTAAGCAACGAGTACCTTATCTCTGGAAAAAATAACGAAGATGCCTATAAACTGATATAGAGTACGAGTACAAGAGCATATTGTTGGGGGGGTACAATAGCGAATGTCATCCTTCATGTAAGAAAGGGATATAAAAAAATATACATACACCTGCAATCTGTGCAAAAGAAATTAAAACATTGCAAGTACAGAAAAAAGATTTGAGAACTTATTGAAAGAATTCAGGTGCCAAAGCAAAGGTTCCCAAAGGTCAAAGGTAGAAAAATCTGAGCAATCTAACAATGATAGTATTATATTTTAATTCACAGGAAAAAAAAAAAAAAACTTCTAGGAATCCATTAATAAGTAGGGGTAGTGCGTAGATGGAGGCATAGCTTATTATAAAAGAATTCAAAGCGATAAATGTAGAAGGGCAAAACAGAAAATCATGATCAAACACTACACAGTGTTAACTGGTGTTGTCAAGATTAACTGATGAAAGTGAAAAGTACTATAGCCTTGTTTGAAGAGAAAAAGATTTGTACAGACTCAAAGGATCTGTACCAAGATATTAACCCCAAAGGGAAAGATGTTAACTTTAAGGTACAGATACCTAGAAGATAATAGTTGACAAAGTGGTCAAGGTTAACATACTGAAATAAAGGTTTCTTGAAATGACACTGTAGAAGGTACCTCTAATATGAACCTTCCTATTTGATTATTTTATGGTATTTGTGTCAGAAGTGAAAAACCTTATTCTAATTATATGAACACATCAAACAAAACTGAATTGAGGAACAGCCTCCAAAACACCCAAACAGTACTCTTCAAAAATGTCAAAAGTCAGAGAAGAAAAAATTGAAGAACTATCAAAGATTGAAGGAGACTAAGGAGCAGTAACAATAAATGCAAGGTGTCCTACATAGAATGTCAAAAGTCAGAGAAGAAAAAATTGAACTATCAAAGATTGAAGGAGACTAAGGAGCAGTAACAATAAATGCAAGGTGTCCTACATAGAATTCTGGAACATTAGTGAAAAAGCTGGTGAGATTCAACTAAGAGCTACAGTTTTAGTTGGTTTTGATAACTACATGTTACAGAATTAGGGAAAGTAAGATGAGGGGGTTCTATATGGAAAATATGTATGGTTTTGTGCCCACTTCTTTAGTATTTTGGGACAGATTTCCTTATGTACCTACTGGTAGCTCAGGCTGGCCTTGAACTCACTATGTAGCCCAGGCTGCCCTCAAACTTGCAGCATATTCTTGCCTCAGGCTCCCAAGTGGTAGATGTACCACAACACCAAGCCTGTGCAATTTTTTTGCAGGACTAAAACCAGTTCAAAATAAAACCTAAAAAAGTCTTGTATGCTGCTTTGTTCTACAGTGGCTTCACAGAGCAGTTAAGACCACCTTCATTTTGACCTGATGAAACTAGAATAGAAAAGAAAGTATAATTTCAAGTTAAAATTTAAAGCTTTGATGTAAGATGGAAGCTATAAAATGGGGCAACACTATTTCTTTTGGTCTTCAAATACGTCACATTTTCTTTGCTTCTACTACCATCTTTTTCTTTTTTGGTGGTACTAGAGATTAAATCTAGGGCCCTCACACTGAGCTACATGCCCATCCCTTTTTATTTAATTGAAACAGGGTCCCACTAAGTTGCTAAGTTGCCAGGGCCAGGTTCAAACTTGTGCTCCTTCTGCCTCAGCCTCCCAAGTTACTATGCATCATTACACCCAGCATTCCACTAACATCCTTTTCTAAGTGATTTACCTATTTCAAGGAATTTGAATAGAGTACATCAGCAGTAGGTTCAAAATGCTGTTCAAGAACGTGGAAACTTATTTAATGACAATACTCTGGAAATTACACTTCTCTAAAGAATATCACAATATTTCTATAATAAAGTTTGTTTCTGGAAGGAAAGTTCAGCACAAAAAGGCTCAGGGGAAAAAATAGCTGGAAAGAGAGCTCCTTTGTATGCATATGATTTATACTCTTGGTTCTGACGAGAAGTGGGGTAAACCAAAAGAAAACAGTTTTTAACTACAAAACACATTCACAGTTGACCATAACTGACTAAAGGACAAACCATCAACATTTTTAGATGATCTTTCAAAATCAGTCTTGTGTTCTAAATTATCCATTAACTAGCGGAGACTAAAGATCACCCCCTTATCATTAAAATACATATTCATAAAACTTCCACAGTTGTGCTGTTCCAGTTACAAATAGCTTCTAGTTTTCTAGGACATAATTTCACTTTGTTTAAGCAAGAATTCATTAAAGAAGCTATAAATAACCTTTAAATATTTAGCCATGAATAGAGGGTGGACTGGCATTGATGGCTTATTTTAGTACTAATGCGGAATGCTTTTTAAAAGCTACATTTTAGCACGCATCAAGCTCATGATTAATACTTGCAGTGTAATTTTCAATGTTAAACTAAATTTCATTTTAAGGAGTCTTATTACAAATAAATGTTATTTTACTTATTTACTAGTTAATATAAAGAATCAAAGTGTTGGGAAGATTAAAAATAAGAAATTTTTATTTTAAAATCTACTTTTTTAGCATCTAAACAAATTTTCCTTCTGTCCCAGTGAAAACTATACACACAAGAAGTGACTATGGAATTTAAGAATCTAACGATCTGTTGTGAGGTAGATGTAGCATATATATATGATTCAAAGACATTTCTATGCTCAATTCTAAATCATAAAATCCACAATAATTTAGAGGCCAAGTTTCATAAAATTTTTACTTGAAAAAAATGTTTTTACAAAATATTCTTCCAATCAAAGAGACCTTCCCATAGGGCACATGTAGTTTTCTGCCTTAAAGATTACAGTATTACATCCAAAGGGGAGAGGTTTTTTTAAATAGCCATCTAACTGCAAAACCTATAAGGGAAGTAGATTTTTTTAAAGTGCCTTTAAAATGCGAAAGCAAGTAATATAATTGTTGAATCCACTGAAATTTTAAAAGTTTCTTTAAAATGGTCCATATGGTATGCACAACATCACAGCTGGTACAAAACTGCTTGTATTTAGGTTGAAACACAAAAACAATGCATATGAACAGTATTCTTTGAAAAATAATTTGAAATGCTACCACTGCATCATAAGACCAACTCAGACAATACTGAGAGAATTAACAAACACGCTTAATATTAAAGTATTCAAACATTTACTTTGAACTTTTTTAGAACCACTCACTTATTAGGATAAAAAAGTTTCTGCCAAACTAACTCAGGATGCCTTATTTCACACTACATGTAACATATTTTGCTATGTATATTCTAAAAATGCACAACTAGGTTTTAGGATGTAAACTCTCATTTCCTAGCTTTTTTGTTGCAATCTGGCAGCTTTGAACTTTGAAACCCTTTTTGCAGTTTCCTCCGCTGCTTCTGACAGAATTTCTTTTCTCTCCGGAATGGTGGGTAGTACAGGATGAGCAATGGCTGGGTGTGGTGTTAAGGAGGATGATAAAAATTCTTTTTCTATTACAGTTCCAGAAAAAGCCTAGAAGACAAAAATTAGGTTTATCGTAATAAAATGTAAGTTAAGATGCCCAAAAAAGCCTTATCTTCTATTTACCAATTAGGTATCTTTTTACAAAAAGTAAAATTTACAAGGTTTTTTTAATATATACAATACATTAACATCAAACTATTAATTGTTCATAGAAACGAAATGCCATAAAATTTTTTTAATTATACCACCAAAATATAAGCAATGTTTATAGTAGTCATGGAAGAAAATGCTGTACTGTGCAAAATGCCTATCTTATCTGGGAAAAACAAAACTGACAAATAAAAGACCCCAAATTTTTACACATCCCATTATGCGCAGCTGTTGCTGTGAAAATAATGCAGTAAGATTCTGAAAAGCGTGGGTGTGTCAGTGAATGAAGAGCTGTAGTGGTGGTGGTCATGCTGTCCGTAAGCCAACAGTATGGTTTCACCAGTACTGAAATTTCTTCAGCGGTGTTCAATTCTGAAAGTGTTTGAATATTTTATAGCATCTTGCCTCAATTTTATTTAAGTGATCAGTGGAACTAAAAAATGAAAGTGCTGAGACTACTAGTATGAATAAGCATAGGTTTCTAAATTTTAATATAAATAATTCAATGATAGAAATCAGATGTTCCACAAAAAGTGACTCTAATTTCAACTGGGTGTTTGCTGAAGGTACTCTGGTCAGCTGTATGTTCAAATGGAACAAAATTAGTATGTACAAATAGCTAGAAATCTTTATGTATCTTTTTATATAAAAGCCAATGAGTTAATTTCTTTTAAAGATTTTGGGTATATGAAACCTTCCCCCTTACATCTTCTAAGAACTTATGCATGAGCTAAAATGACATAAACTTTTATACATTTTTTATTTTCCTTTATCTACCAAGTGTTCAAAGCTAGTTAAGACACTTTATCACTTAAAATAATTTTAAAAGCAAACATCCTCACCTCACCCCACCAATGAAACAAAAACAAAGAATGTTATCTTTCTCCCTCCTTCAAGATTCTGAACTCCAGCACTTAAACAAAGCTCCAAGTTTACTTTTCTAAAAATTCCATTTAATCATGCTGAGAAGAGAGCCTTTACATTATCTTAAGAACTTGACTTGTGAAAGACACAGTATTTTAGCACTTTAAAAGAGACTGAGAAGCCAGGAATTTAGTTCAGTGGTTCCAGGGCCAGCTTCACAAGCACAAAGACCTGAGTTCGATCCCCGTACCAAAAAAAAAAAAAAAAAAAAAAAACACTGAAAATAATGTCTTTTAAAATACTTGCCATAAGCATTAACAACTTATTTAAAGTAAAAATTACAGCATCTCTAACAGCAATTCAATATAAAATGCAAAGCTAATGAGAGTGAAAATAATTAGTTTTGCCAGGCATAGTGATGCATGACTGTAATCCCAGCACTTGGAAAACTGAGGTAGGAGGATTGCCATGAGCTCAAGGCCAGCCTGGGATACATAGTGAATTTAAGGCCAGCCTGAACTGCACAGCAAGATCTTGTCTCAAATAAATAAATAAATAAACAAATGAACGAACGAATGAATGAATGAAAATAGTAAGTTCTATATTTATCTACCCTATGACATGTTAAATCCATATAAAAATTCAATTTTCAAATATTTACTGGCAAAAGTCTACATGTATTCCATGTTTTCTAACACTAAGACAGAATATTAAATAAGGCAAGATTTTCCAGGTCAACTAAGATCATTATCCTGAGAATAAGAGCATTTTAATCTTATGTAGCATCCCTAAGTGCTAATGACGTCTATCTCCAATCACCATTCAGTGCATTTAGTACAATTAGTATTATCTGATACAAGTGATGACAATTTTATATATATAGTTTAATATGTATTGATTATATGTGTGTATATTGGTTTGTTTCACAAATGGGTTTTCCAGTCTTCCAAAGTACTTTTTAAATTGGAAACTTCCAATATCCACCAAAACACAAGAATAAAAATATCAAGTGGAAACCATAATTATGCATTTCATAGACAGGAATTCTTATTTTGGGTTCTTTCAACCTTTCCTCCGCCTCCACAAAACTATGCAATGTAGTCTATAAAAGCCTGGGTATGTGCTAATTTTTCTGAGGATGCCTACAGCTCATCAGACCGGAAAATTATTTCATAACCTCAAAAGTTTCACTGGTACAGGCCAAAACACAGAGAGACTTTGGAAAGTGATCTACCATGTAAAAGGGGTAACTAAAACATACAGTATTTACATTTTTTAAAAGTTTATTACAAAAAAAGACATACTGCTATGAATCCCCTCACTTTCAATACATTTATCTCATTCTTGCAACTTTCTGAAGCAGTTCTGAAAGTCCTTTTTCATGAGAATCTTTACAAGATACAGTCAAAAATACAGTGAATGTTGCTGTCAAGTACCATCAAACAGGCTAGTAAAAATATTACAGTGTGTCCTCATCCATCTTTTTCACTGGATCTGGCACTGTGGAACTTCTGGGTCTTGCGCAAAGTAAAAATGACCAAAGGTAAATACTTTTTAATCAAGTCAGGATATCAAGGCAGCCATGACAGCACAACCAAAGACACTCATTAAAGAGGACTTCCAGAAATGCTTCAGAAAGTGGCAAAAATAGGAAATGAGTGTGTTCAAAATGAGGGGGATTAATGACAAAGTATCTCTTACTGTAGCAAATTTTAATATTCACCGTACTTTATGATCACACAATACACATACACACACATACACACACACACACACACACACACAGATTTTCTTTAACTCCACCGAGACAATTAAATGAGAACACTATAATCTACTAAACTATAGTATCAGAAAATGACTATAGTCTGGTCCACTGTTAATTTATTTCATACAAACTGCTAAGTGTTTTCTATATAAAAATGTACATGTCAGTTAAGATAGTTTCAAATTTCCATTTCACAGAAGTAAAACTTCAAGATAGTAATATTGTGTTGCTAGTGGCTTAACTTTCTTTTACAAATTATCAAAAAAGTAAAAACCTAAGATTATTAGACCCTATGACATTCCAGGTTAAATAGCAAAACCCAGCCAAAGACATTAAACAGTTAAGATCCATCTCTACACACCTCAGGTGCTCCCAACGAGGGCAACAGTTTCTTTTGAGGATTTTCTTCTTGTGGCTCCTCTTCCAAAATGCTCCCACTGGTGTCACTGCAAGTGGCTTCTTCACAGCTGATACTCCTCAAAACTCCCCGCCTTTCATCAAATTCAGTAGCACTGCTTTCACTGGTATCACTGCAAACACTGTTCTCTCTGCTTCGAGACTTGAGAATTGATTTACGAGGGACATATTCTCCATTCACAACATCAACAAAAACCCTGTAATATTCAAAAAATATATGCTCACTTAAAAAGAAACTCATAAAACTGAGAATAAAGATTTCTTTAAATCTATTCTAGAAATTGACCTGAAACTGTTAAAATTTTGTATCTAAAATTTTCATTTACAATACTTTTGCAGCCTCAAATGATATATTTTATATTCAGAAAGACATGATTTTTTTGCCAATAAAATACAGCATGTTACTTATAAGCATGTTCTTAGTGGTAATGAATCAAAAATTCTATACCCAGTTTTATATCCTTATAAGACATTTAGCAATTTTCACTGTTTTACAAAAGGGTCATGATATAATAAATATTTTCAAATGATAACTTTCTTAAATATCACAACAAAAAACTGAAATAGTATAATTAATTTCTACTCTGAAGATATAAATTAATATGCCAAGCATAATTTAGCTATGATAGGAAAATACTGCCCTAACCATAAAAATGCAAACTTTGATTTCTAAAGATGTATGGTGTTTTTACTAGACCCAGTGGGAATGTTGCAAAGCACTGGTGAAGAGAAGGAAAAAACTAGACAATAGCCCAAATGCTTTGGGTAGTTGTGGAAGTGCCATCTTTCAAATACTAGGTTAATAATTCCTTCAGGGGAACCTCCCATTCTTCGAAGAGAACATTCTGGATCATAGACAACGCTTCAACTAAATATTCAGTTGGAAAAAGAGAGAAAGGATTAGTAAATTGTCATGCAGTCAGTGATATCATTCACCTGTAAATGTCAGCCGGAGTTCTGATTGTAGGCAGCTCATGGGCAGATTGACCACTGCCAGAGCTGTTTTTTCGTTTACGTTTGGCCTCTTCTTTCTTTTCACTGAATTTTAAAGTAGTATTTTTCCCAGTATTTATTCGAACCTAAAAATTTCACAGCAAACATATTAAAAACTGAGACATTTAATTACGGCCTAAACTAAAACAAATTCTACAGTTAAAAATAGTAAGAGTAATAGTAAAAATAGTGAGACACAGCTGAAGTTTTTTGTTGCAAACTGATGTGCATTGTCAGAATGGGTAAAAAAATTCCTCACCTTGTATTTCTACAACATTAAATTAACTCTTCTTTAATCATAAATTCATCTTCAGTGTCTTTATTATAGTATAGAAAGCAAAATATATTTAAACTGAATACAAGGTTTATTATAAGCATCACCTCACTCCATTACTTTGATATAAATGTTTAGATTAAGTCATGCATTTCAAAACAAAGAGCACAAGTAACCAAACAAAAAACAAAAAACTGAAGATCTCTAACATGTTATATAAGCAACTTTAATGCATAACTATTTCAAATTCTTTAAACACTTCTAATTTTAGAAACTGAAGGACTAAAAACCAATCCCATTCAAGATTAATGTCACTGTTCTATTCCCTCTTGGCATTTACACCCCACTTTCTATAGTAATGACTGCTCTTCCCCACAACATTCCTGCAAATATTATCTTCCTGTTTCATCTAAATGACAATAAGAAAAAAAATTAAAAGCCTGGAAAAATAATCACCATACAATTTTTTGTTTTGAGATGCAGTCTTTAACCCATTTTTTGCCAAAGATTGAATTTTTTTCTATTTTTGCATGAAATTCATATATAGAAAAATTCGAGGAACAAGAATTTGAAGAGTAAACATTTCATTATGTTACACTTTTATGCATGTTCCAAAAATGGATCACTAGGCACTGAAGGGTTAACTAGGCATCCAGGCTGGCATCAAACTTGTGATCCTCTTGTCTTAACCTCCCAAATGCCAGGATTATAGTCATGCACTACCACATACAGCTTAATAGAAAAAATACTTTATAGTGCTAATTTTATAGCATCAAGTAAACTTTCTCCAAAGAATTCCAAAGATCCTGTTAATTCAACATATTAAACAATTTTAAATATATATAATTATTTCACTTCACATTAGAGCAGGGATAACTTAAGGAATTTAAGGAATATCCAGTATTTTTTAGTATGTTTCATTAAATAATCATCACAGGCACTGAAGACTCATATCATAGTCCTTATCTCTGATACAGGTAATCAGGGTACCATGTGTACAAAAAGAACACAAAATGGACTCAAAAGACTTGTTTTACTACTAACCAGCTCTATGCCTTCTATGCCTTAAGTTTCCCTGAGAAAGGTGAATTCATGGTGACACCTTAGAGCATCCTATGAAGCAGAGAGGACAGGGGTAGCCTTAAGGTAGCCTATTATTTCCTTCAACCAGAGATGGCCTGCTGAAGCACTGACTAAACAGTTTGAAAACCCTGGACGAGAAAATCTCTATAGTCACCCCCTATACCTCTAAACTGCCAAAATTCTAAATTTTATTTTGCAGAAAAGGGACTGATGCTTACTTTCTCCTAATTTTTTCCTTTTTGTTCATTATGCTCCTATTCATTTAATACCCATGTAGAAAATCACCTGACACAATAAAAAACTCTAACCAATGTAATCACTCTCAACATTCTAAGCACACCAAACTGTCCACAATAAAATTAACTGAGATTCTGAAGAACCTCTGGCATAGCACAGCTAGAGCTAAAGTAGTTACAACTTACATCTGACCCCCTTCTAGACCCTAGCTTGTGATGACAATGGACCATACCAGATATTGTAAGATAAATCATCAGAAGAGGGAAAGGAGGATTTTCAAACTATTTAGCGGTATCAATGATCTTAATCACTGTTAACATTTTTCTCTTAAAAAATAACAGATGATATTTAATGTTAAAATTATACCCAAAATTAGTAAAGTGAAAAGTATACAAACCCTCTTAGGTTCAACAGTATGAGAAAAGTATATTGTTGGTACAGAATTATCTGCAGCCCCGGAAGCATCATGGTCATTTTCATTATCACTACCACCATCATCATCTTCTTCTTCATCATCATCTTCATCGCTGCGGTAAGAATCTGAACCATTCCCTGAACAGTTCAATTTACTATTCACGTGACCTCTGAACAGTTCTGAATTTACGACACCCTTAGGGCAAGCGCTGGGAGCAAGGGAGTCTGTTACTGGCTGCATCACATTCATGTTTGTGTTTTGATCTTCTCTCTCCTCTTCAGAAGAGGTTGTGTCTTCTCCATTTGTAATCACAGTATCAGGTTTACTAGTAGGGAAAAAAGAGAATAGTAAAAACATACACACATTACAACCTTACATACTCTAATTTCCAGTTCATTTCAAAAGATAAAAATTAAAAATTTTATATATTAATTTTTGTGTTTAATAGTACATTTGCAGTACACCACAACTACATTCATAGTGGGGGATAGCACATACTACATGTTAAGGTATTTTTTAAAACAAGAATTCTAGGTAGCAAAAGAAAAAATGTTTCGATGTAAATTAACAAAAAGTAGTTCTTAGGTAACTTCTGTATACTGCAGTTATTTAAACTTAAGTTTAAATATATACAGTAAGTTATCTTTGCATATTGGCCAGACACAATATAAATATATATCAAAAATACAGTAAGAGTTTAAGAAATCTGAACAATATGTACTCCCATTTAAATTTGGGATTTAAATTGGAAATTAATGCCACGGAACTGTAACATTTTTATTTTCTAATTCAACCTCAGAATATTTTAAAACAAACATGTATTGCTGTAATTTTTAAAAATAAATAATTCATACATCTGTATATACTTATATATATATGAGTACATATTTATCATGCTTCATTTTATAAAAGATTTGAGGGCTTACAGGAATAACAAAACCAAAAATGCAAAGAACTGAAATAACATCATGCAAAAATAGAGAATCATGACTAAGAAAATCACAAGATCCAACATGAAACAGTACAAGTTAATCAAAAAGACCTAAATTTATAGGTGAAATGGTAAGGGGGAAAAAAATCTTTTGTGCTTCTTGTCCTATTTTTCACAGAAACTAACTACTGCATATGGTACATCGTTTAAGCAAAATAACATGGAAACGTCCGTAGTAGCAACTTCATTTAACACTTTGACAATTCTAAGTGAGGACTAATGTATATTTCAAATAGCAGTTTGGTAAAGTTTCTCATACATAAAACTACCTGACCAGATTACAAACTGACTGTTCAATAAACAGAAGTTTGCAAAGGGAAAGCAAGGACAAACATTTTACGGTATCAAATCTAAATTAAAAGCAATTTTTTTAACAAGTCATTCAAACAGCATTATCCTGAGTGTAGTATTAAAATATTTCATTTGAATTTTAACATTAATGCATCTACAATTATTAAAAGTCAACTATGTGGTATAATTACTTCATAATATAAAATTTTTATATTAAATTAATTTTTATAATAAAAAATAAAAATGTTGATTTAAAGTATGTACATCCACATGCACTGGGATGTACACAAGATCACGGTCCTATAAGAAAATAAATATTTATCTTAGGGTAGAAGGATTATTGACAATTTAGTATTACACTTTTCTGTATTTTCTTTAATGAGCACATATTATTTTATTAATGAGGGACTATGTACAGAAACAATCTTTTGGAAAGAATTTGTCATTAGATACCTGTCAAGTTCACCCAGCAATTCTTCTTGTCTCTCTAGTTCTTCAAGTCTAGCCCACAGTTCCTTATCAGCAAGAAAATCCTTGGATTTCACATCACTGACAAAATCTGCTTCAAAAATACCTGAAGTTTTTGGTTTAGAATGAGGTTTATGAGCAATTCGTTGTTTTCCTATTAAAAAAAAAAAAAAGACAAGATATGACTGTTAATAGTCAATATTAACAAGGCACAAACCAAGACATAAAAAAAAGCCAGTGTAGACATCATAAAAAGAATGGCTAAAATATGCTGATATTAATTTTCTTCCCAAAACAACACATAAAGCTGAAGTTTTAAAAGGAAAAGTAAAAAAAGCTAGCAAACAATATTTTATGACTTGGCCAATGTCAAAGATCAAATTAGGAGCAAATCCATGTCTAAAATATGTATCTTTTGAATTTCAGAGGTTTAAATCATTACAGAACTTTGAAAATAAACAAAAAGCCACCACTTATGGTGGCACATGCCCATAATCCCAGCTACTCAGGAGGCTGAGGCAGACCATGAGTTGGAGGCCAGCCTGAACAACTCAGTAAGACCTGGTCTCAGTAAGACCTAGATAAATGGAACAAATGCTTGCATCTTCTGAACTGGGAAGTATCAAACTGTAAGTTCCAGATATCTTAAAAAGACCCCTTAAGAATCAACCCAACAAACACCAAAGTAATTTTATATAACAATCTCATTGCTTACCTTTAAATTCGAAGTCACTTTTAATTTCTTCCCTTATGTCAACAATATCACCTGCAGCCTAATTTTTTAACAACAAAAAAAACATATTAATACAAATTTCCAATATATTAAAATGACCATAAAAGCAAGCATAAAACTAAGAAACATATCTGAAAACATTTGAAACGTCAAGTGATTAGTTCCTTGGCTGTAAGAAATTTTCAATATAAAAACATTTTATGTTCTAAAAAATGTAAAACTCTGAAAACCAATACCCACATCACTCATTTTCTGCAAATCTTCTGTGAATTCAACTCTGGATTCAAAATTTTTCATCACTTTTTTTAAATCATCTATTGTTTTTCTTATAT